GCTCATTCCTTCATTCCAGCCATCTCCAGACCCCTCTTTGCTTAGTCACCGCGGTCCGACCCCTTTTCGGTCTGACATGAGTTGCGACCCTCTGACATGGACAGAGGGCGCCGGTAGAAAAAGGGATCTTCGGACTATCGTAGATGCGGCGCCGTTCGATTCACAGTGTCAGCTTTGGATCGACACCGTGACAGATAAAACTCGCCAACCCTACACAGATAAGGTCATCATGAAAAACCACTTCACTGTCTCGTACTATCAAATGGCATGCTCACTTGTTCTCTCTCATGACAGCGCTTTCTGCTCTACATGCTGCTCATATGTCTTGCGCACAAAAATACCGCCATCGACGTGACTGCTTTCATGCACATCATCCAACGGAATAGAGTTGGTGATGTGCACTGTTCTCCCCCTGGACCCCTGCGCATATCCATTGATTGGCATACTTCCACTGCCTGTCGCATACTTGCCGCCCGTGCGCCTGGTCGTTTGATAGTTCTTGATGGACCGGGCCAGGACACCCTTGAGAGCGGGCAGAGACCCCACAATGACGGCAGTCGCTGTCTCGACCGCGCCCCAGATGGCGAGACCGACGAGGTCGACCTGATCACCCACGATGACCTGCGACATGCGGACAATGGCGACAGCGATTATGATGAAACCGAGGCTGAAGGCTATACCAAGACCAATCTTCTTGCGCTTGTCTAGTTGGAGGGAGGGCAGGACCATGATGGGGAGTGCCATGATCATGAGATCGCTGGCTATGTCGACGGACGTCGAGTAGAGGACGTTGAAGCGCTGCATCCAAACGTCTCTGTCCGAGTCGCAGCCACCTGCAGCATGTCAGCGAGAGCCTGCGCGTGGAAGGGGGCCAAGCAGTAGGACACATGGCAGTCACATACCAGCTTTGAAATATTGACCCGGGGGCGTGCAGGTCAGAGCACTGGCCAGCCAGCATCCAATGTAAGCCAGCGCGCAAAATACACAGACACAATACCAGAGCCTTCGTAGCACGGGCAACGGCCTAATCACCCGGTAAAAGAGTGCCAGGAAGCTCGCCTTGATGGCCCACAGCGTCGTCCAGAACAGTTTGATGATGGGAAACTGCCACCGCTTCAGCTCAATCTGCATCTGGCTGATACCCTCCACGTCGGTGAAATCGAGTCGTCCGGCAATGAGATACGTTGTGTACCACAGCGCATTCATCTGCTGCGTCTGCAGGATGGCCATGGTGAGGATGCATAGCCAGGCGAAGATGACCCAGCAGTCGTCGGGAAGAAAGGTGCGATTCTGGCGCCACCGGACGCTGAGGCGGACACCCACAAAGATTGTGGCTACGCTGAAGCACACCCAGATGATAGCCAGGAGACCCTCGCGGTCAATCGTTCGCGCGGCGCCCTGGAGGGGAGCACTTGGGTCGGGCGGCGGCGGCGGGAGCTGCTGGTCTGGTTCGGACATTTTGTTCGTGGCGCCCACTAGTCAATGACACTGGAGGGGGGGCTGGAACTGTTATAGGCATCCGCATCTCCGCGACACATTGCATCCTGAACGGCTAATTACTACGTGTATCCCCCTTTCCTGCCGCGTTGCTGCAGGTACAGTTCCCAAACGGCATGTGCAGAAGGACCCCAGACAAGGGGATTCGTGGCGACAGGCCTCGCTGCCGACCCAGAAGTGCAGCTGCAGCAGAGATGCGTCTGAGACGCCATGTACCTGTTTGCAAGCAGCATCCTTGCACTGGCCGCCCGTGGTGAGGATCAGGGCAATTTGCAGGGTCAAGACTCAAAAGGTTTGACATGACAGGCCGTCATCAATACGTCGTGCATTGCTGATACTGCTGGCTCGGAGACTCGGCCCTGTCCCATGCATGTGGGATTTATTAGATCCTGCTGATACCCGCAGGACTCTTTGCAGCTCAAGGGGACCGACAGAGCTCGAGTCACTCTTCTCTACAGTCAGTGTCCTCACACTTGGAGTCGTTGGCACGCTCTAGCCGTTGAAGCATGACGACCTCTCTGTGGGCTGAAGAGGACATGGATGGGCTGAAGAGGACATGGATGGGCTGAAGAGGACATGGAAGATTGTCAACCATGTCTGGACTCTGGTCTGCTGTAGTGGTGTGTGGCGGCGCGAATCCTCTGCCAAGCTTCCTGCAAGCATTCGAGGTCGCGGCCCAGGTTTCGACAGTGGCACGCTGTGCCACTTTTCGAACCCATGGCTATTTCTGCGGTAATAATAATATCAACTGACCTGGGCTACGGACTTTTGCTCACAGCTCAAGGCATGCCTATGCTCAGCCCCAGAGGACAGTACCCCTCCAACAGCCACCAAACCTCGGTCCATTCTCGTTCGTTCAGAGTCGCGCTACAATGAGTCTGCAACGGATGTGTCAGCTTGATGAAGAAAGTCGTAGACGTGGCTCTTTCCAGCCAGCTAGCCAAGACCAAGACCTGCTCACCCTTTTCCCGTCGTGGACGCGATCTTCCGGCCCGACGAATCGTACAAAATAGTCCAGCGGACCAATTTCCCAATTTGATGGAGACGCTGCAGTAGTTTATCGGCACGGCTCTGTCACAGCATCTCCCCGGCTCGACCCCTGCTTGGCGGCTCGACCCCAGCTCATGCAGACTTGGCAACATTGGCGGTCGAATGAAGGGGGCGGCTCATATGCAGTTGGCTGCATGGAAAAGCCTTGCACGTGGTCGCCGTTGGTCCAGAATTCCCTCGCACCTTTTTTTTTTCATGCATTCGGGGCTGGACTCGGGCTAGTTTTCGGGTTGACGGACAATGTCTCGCCTCCTTGGCCTCCAGGTTCAAGGACCTGAATCCAGACTTGGACCTTGTCATTCCATACGAACGGTGCAGCTGCGGTATGTCCGCGAGATGAACTGCATAGAGGCAAGCCCATGATTGTAATTCTATTTCGACATCGCCCCCTGGTCAGTGGGATACCACACGATTACCTGCCTAATAGCGTAAGATGATCGGATTCGCTGACCTCAAACCCATGGGGATACCCACGTGTGTCGGTGTCCACCACGAAGCTTCGAGTTGAAATAAGAATGCTGGTCTGGGCTGTTGTGAGCTGAACACTTTTGGAAGCCTTCACACCGGTCAAGGAAAGTTGCAGATCTCTTACGCCCTCCAACCGACACGATGCGTTTTCTCCCACTTGTCTCGCTGCTGGGGTCGACACTCGCCGCCGCGCAGGAGTGCAGATGCGTTAGTCACCATCCTCCAAACCCATTTATGCCCAAATATGTCGCTGATCGTCATTGCTAGGTCCCTGGCGACAAATGTTGGCCGTCGCGATGCTCCTGGGACGGACTGGACAAGCTCCTCGGCGGCAACAAGCTCATCAAGAGCCAGCCCCTTGCGCGGTCCTGCTACGACGGGCCCGACAAGGACTTGGACGAGTGCGCCTACGTAACCAAGATGTGGTCGGACCAGGATTTCCAGACATCCCAGCCCATTGGCCGACCGTACCCGTACAACATCACCTGCGCGCCCGTCGACTACGCCGCCGACGAGACACCCGGGGAATGCCTACTGGGTCCCCTCCCGACGTACGCTGTCAATGCGACAACACGGGAAGATATCGAAGCTACACTGGCGTATGCAAAACGCAAGAACATCCGCCTCGTGGTCACTGGCACGGGCCACGATCTGCTGGCTCGATCGGACGGCTATGGCGGTCTTGAGGTTTGGTTGCGCCACTTCCGCAACGACATTCAATTCCAAAAAACGTTCCAGCCCTCGGACGGCTGCACCAAGTCTGGCTGGACGGGTAGCGCCATCCACATTGACGGCAACTACCAGTGGCGCGATGTCTACAAGGTGGCCAAGGCCAATGACGCGATTGTGGTCGGCGGCGGCGCTGTCTCTGTCGGCGCGATTGGCGGCTGGGCATCTGGTGGTGGCCACGGGCCTGCCACGCGCAACTATGGTCTTGGAGCGGATCAGATCCTCGAGGCTGAAGTCATGCTGGCCGACGGGACTGTTGTCACCGCCAACCACTGCCAGAACACGGATCTGTTTCGGGCGATGCGTGGCGGTGGTCCTGGCTACGGTATCACGCTGAGCGCCGTCGTCAAGGCACATCCCAACGTCGACGTTGTCACGTTTCACTCTCTTGCCATCGCGCCCTATGCGCAGACACCCGAGAACGCAGACCTGCTCGACGCCGTCAGCGTGCTGATCCAGAACTTCCCCGACTTGAGCGATGCTGGGTTTGCCGGCTACGCCTACTGGTTCCGCAACTTCCCAGGCCCCTTTATTGGCGAGATCCAGTCTGGCTACTCTCATGGCTTCTGGACTATTGGCAAGACCCAAGAGGAAGCGGATGCTGGCTTCGCGCCTGTCCGCTCTCTGCTCGAGCCCTTCAAGGATCGCCTCCTTGTCGTCGAGAGCTTCCGCAACTACACCGACTACTGGTCCTTTTACGAGGCAGAGTCTGGCCTGTACGACCCCACTGGCGACACGTCTATTGTCACGTCACGCTTGATTGACCGCCCTGCCGTGGAGGACTACGAACGCGTACGTGATGCCGTCGAAGTCATGAGCGGCGACGCCTCGGAATACGCATCCAACGTCGTCCTCCTCGTTGGTGGAGGCCAGAACTTTGAAGACGCCGACGACGAGACTTCTGGTCTCCACCCCGCGTGGCGAACGTCATCCTTTGCGCTCGTCACCGGGCGCGGCGTGCCCAAGACCGCGAGCAACGAGCTGCGCAAATATGTCAACGACGATATCACCTTCGTCAAAGGCGCCGCCACGAAGAAGCTGGCGCCCAACACGGGCGGTTACATGAACGAGGGCGACCGACATGATCCAGAGTACAAGGACACGTTTTACGGATCCAACTACGTGGCGCATCTGGCCACCAAGAACAAGTATGACCCCGACCATGTCTTTTACTGTCCGACATGTGTTGGCTCGGAAGAGTGGAAGGAGAGACCTGATGGACCGCTCTGTCGGGTTTAGACATCACGCATGTGGCTTGCAGAAGCAGGGACTTTAATATTAGACACTACATATCCTAAGTAAACCATGTTCTCTTCTCTCTCTGTCTCTTGCATGACCCGTGAGCTCGGCACGCCGGGGCTCGAGTTCCCATGTCTCTTGAAGTTGCGCTCTTGTGCTCTTCTTCCCGAAGGATTGCGTGCCAGCCTGAATCAAACGCTGGGCCGCGCTCAACTTGGAGCTCACAATGTGCTTCCGAGGGACTGGCCATTCTTTGCTTCCAGTACGAGTCTAGCTGCCAAGTTACTGCAGACGTCCCTTCTCACTTGTTTGACACCAGTCCCTACAATGAGTTTCTCTTGAGCAAGGTGGTGCAATATGGTTCAGCATAGCGAACAGCTTGCTGAAACTGGACTAGAGGTAGAAGTAGCGAAAAGGACCGGACAAAGTGTCCATGACCTCGCCAATGACGGTTGAGCCACCGGCATAACCCATGTCAATGGGACCTTCCAGCGACGCCTTTCGGGGCGGCGGCTTGTTGGCCCATGTATTGTGACCATAGGGGCGGCCGTTGAACTCGCAATGGCGCTTGTTGGGGTTGATTGCTTGCCAAAAGGTCCACATGCGGTCCATCATATCATGGTGCACCCAGAAGGCAGGGTATCCAGGGGAGGTGAAGAGGTCACCTCCAGGGTCGCCACTGTTGTTGGGTCAGCTTACAGTATAGGTTGCAGCTGCTTTTAGGGAGGCGTCGCCTACCCGATCGTGTAATGAATCCTGTCGTGAGAGCCAATCGAGGGCGTGTAAGGCACACATTCGGACAGAAGCCGGTCCTGTTAGATATCAGGCTTCAAGAGCAGGTCTGTCTACGCCAAGCGTGATACCAAATCTCATGCGCGTTTGTGGCAAGGCCCGGTTGGACGTACTGAGAGCTGTCGAGTAGTTGGCGTAGCGGATGATCATGGCACCACCAAGATCGCACAGGATCGCGGAGGTTGTAGCCCAAGCCACCGCCAGGGCCGGGAGGAGCGCCGCCCTGGATGCCGCCCACAGGACCGAAATTGACCGTCATGTTGACAAATGGACCAGTTATCACGTATGCGCCCCCCGTGCCTGTCGGCAAAGGAATAGGATCACACGAAACGCCTTCAGGAGTGATAATGACAGGCCCATCGTGGGGGACATAGTTTCTATTGTCACCGAGGCTGTAGTCGTCACCGTTGAAGAGGGGCGAGTTTCGGGAGCGCTGACATACTTGGCCCAGTCCTAGTATGGCTGGAGTCCCTTGTAGCCGCACTCTTCAAGGAGAGCCTTCTCATATATGTAAACAAACCGGCGCCAGGGAGGGAAGACGCCAGAGTAGTGGATGCTTAAGGTCTGCTGGATGTGCTTCACGACAAAGTCGTCATATAGAGTGCATGTGGTCAGTGCTGTGAATCCTTTGCGCAGGGCTGCGCCATCGACGCACCTTGGATCAAGCACCAAGCGCAACAACACTCTCGGGAGTGCGCGCGGGAAGCTGCTGTTGACACTTGACAGCATTGACATAGTCCAGCCTTTTCTTCTTAGAGAGCGAGCCACTCCTGGGCGTCGGCCGAAAAAGCACCTCCCAAAGGCAACATTGCGGGCGTTGCACGTAGCCTCCTTGTCACGCCTCTTCAGCCTCGCTTCGCGCCTTTCTAACACGTTGGTCCTGGTATATTCAATCAATGGTTTGCTGCTTGCTTTCGCTCTGTGCTATGTTTCTGGGAAGGACAACGACCGCCAAAGTAGCAGACGCGAGAACGGCAGCCGACGCGATCGACGTAAAACGCATAGTGCGCGGTGAACGGCATTGCTCGGGGCCCCAGGAATGGCTTGCTACGTTGGAAACAGGGAGCTTCTTGTTGGTTATAAGGAGAATTACCGATATATTTACTATTATTCTCGGAGAAACTCTAAACCAAGCCTTTATTACATAGTCGTATAGTATCGCGTATTCGATAAATTAACGCCGGCTTATTAAGCTAATAACGGAGCAAGTTTTAACTATAAAGAACGGTCTATAGATTATAAAGATACGACGCCGGCTATAGAGGATGTAGCCACGATCTAAACCGTATAAGAATACGCATCAAAAATTACGTAACGTAAAGCAAAGGAAGGTAAACATTATACTATAGGATATTCGAGAAGAGTAAACCAATATATAGGCGGTTAAAGATATCGAACGCTAACTCCGTAGTAAAGGGTTTACTCTTGTACTAGAGGATATTTCGACTTAACTTTAATGTCCTATATAAAAGAGAATAATAGAAGCGCTTATAGCTAAAGTATAGCCTACTCTTAAGGGCTAGTTATTAGAAACCCAGAACTAGGTTTAATGAAGACAGTGAGAAGGTGCACAATGTCGAGAGGGCGCAGCTAGATCGCTGCGAGTACGGTGTCCTTGGTGACTGTATTAATCTCTTGATCTTCCTAGAAGCATTCCTCGGCTACGAAGGTTCTTCCCTTAGTGCGCCCTTATGCACGTGACCTAATCGGGGCTTCCTAAGCCACACCTAGCCACAAGGCTAGTCGCTTCAGCCACCCCTAATGCCTGCAACAACCTGGGTATGTAATATGTGTCTAACAAACTAGATTTAATAAAAAGAGTAATAAGGTGCATAATTTCGAAAGGGCGTAGCTAGATCGCTACGAGTACGGGGTCCTTATGTGACGTTCGGGTCTAAACTAGCTACCGGGTAGGTAGAATAGAAGTCGGTTTATAAACTAAGTATACTAGGATATCGTTGACTTAAGCGGTCGGGTTATAATTTATACGAGATAGTAGATCTTACGTAAATAGTTATATTCATAGCTAGAGAGAGCTAGTAGAGACTAACTATAGTAAAGCTAGGCTTCTTATATACTAGTTATAGTAGCGAGGGCTCACGGGAATATCGTAATCCTATGAGCTATATATTAATACGAGAGCGTAGGCTTAGGGTAAGGCCGTGAGCTATAGCACGTATGATAAACGTGGGTGGTTTAATAGGTAGAAAAACATAGGGGGCACGTGAGAGGCGCATGCGGTCGCATGTCGGGTCGTAACACCTTAGTAACTATATTAATCTCTTAATCTTCCTAGAAGTATACCTCGGCTACGAAAGGTCTTCCCTCGGTGCGCCCCTATACACGTGACTTAATCGGGGCTTCCCGAGCTATATCTAGCTATAGGGCTAGTAGCTTTAGCCACCCTTAATACCTATAATAATCTTAGTATATAATATATATCTAATAGAACGCCCCTCTCTACATATACCGTCCTCGGTATCCACGTATACGTAGCGTATTCGTAGCGAATATACTAGGTCTATATAGCGAGGTAAGTATTCGGTAGCTTTATTTAATCTTTATATCGACTTTAATTATGTTATGGGCCAAGCCCTATTGGAATAACTTGGTAGCTCAGAATGAGTCTATCTAACGATAAGGTAGGAAAAGAGAAAGAGGAGGGAATTTACGGTCCCCCTTTCCTATAAAAACCCTGCGAGGTCTGTGCGTCCTCGTAAGCACGCGTCACGTGCCTGGGTGAACTAGGCCGGGTCTTATACCTAGCCGCTAATAACTAGTAGAACCGTAATATTACCTCCCTACTAACTCTAGGCTAGCCTACGGTAGCCTGTCGGGATAGCTACGGGGTGCCTTACCGCTAGGAGTATATCCTAGGTTTTCGTATATAATAATTCGCACTCCGGGTAGATCCGCGGTTTCTCGTAATACCCCGCGCGGTATAGCTACGTCCTATATATACACCTATTAGCCTCGCGAAATAAGGCTAAGGTAAAGGTAATATAAGCTAACCTTAGATAAATCTAAGGGCGGCTATAATAATATCGGCCGTAGCCTTCCCTACCTATTATTTTTTCTCTCCTTTAGCCTTATTTCTCGATACCGGTATATACCTTTAATAGCCCGCGGTAGCCCCGCGATACCTCTATAACCTCCTTACTAACCTTATATATAGCGCGCTATAGTTAATTAGCCCGCCGGCCCTTATGAGTTAATCCTACGCGCGCGTAGTCCCTACGCGCCGCTTACGCCCACTCTAAGAGCCTTACTAATATTATAGATTAATTAAATCTTTATCGCCGCTACCGCCGCTACCTCTCCCGCCCTTAGTAAGGACTTCGATACTAAAGCGACGATGTATAGCTAATATACATACGTAGTAGCTACTAGTAAGAAAGGCGCCGCCTAGGGCTCTCGTAGCTCTAAGTATAACTATCGCGTATATTGTATAACCCTAGGGTGCGAGTTCTTAATAAGGATAGTACTAACGCGCGGTAGTAGTCCTCGTTATCTCCTCCCCCTTCTATACCGCTACTAGGTAAGAAATAGGCGCCCCCTAGCCGCCGCCGTAAGCTCCCGTATATACGAGTACGAGGAAGATACGGGAACCTTACTTATACGCTCTAGATACTCTCGCTACCTCTATGCCCTTATAGCTAACCCCTCCGCTACGCCCTACCGTAGCGTTAAGAGTAAGTCTTCTTACGACTTACGTATAGTTAGTTTACTAACTTAAGTAGACTCTAGTAATAAAAAGTACTATTATTATACTAATATTAAGTATGAGTATATCTCTATAAGTTTATATATTTCTAAAGATTCTAAACACTAGTCCCTCGTACTATTAATATATATTTTCTATAGCTCGCTCTTAAGGCTATCCCTACCGCCCTAGAGTTTATAGCCGCTATTACTATTATAAAGGCCGCGGGTACTACCTTAGGCGATAGGTCCGCTATAAGTCTACCGTATCCTTATATAATAAATATATACTAACTAGCTAAAAAACGCGTAAATAGTCTACTATAAGCGAGCGCGCTACGCGCGCCCTATAATAGTACCCCCGGGCCGCCCCTAACGCTAACTACCGCCTTATTAGTATTAAAGCTATACTACGCTCTATCTACGAGTATCTTATAAGTTTATATCCTTACGGTCCCCTTACGAGTTACCGGCTAACCCGTTAGTAACTCCTTATCGTTAAGGGTTATAATCTTTTTAATAAGGAGCCTAAGTCCGAGGAGGAGGGCGCGGCCCCTAGGGCCTAGATATAGTATAGCTATAGTTTAGGTATAGGGGACCCTTCGGGGCTGATTTCTATTCTTTAATTCTTTAAGAAAAAGCTTAGTATACGGTCTCTTTATAGTAGCCCGGCGGATCGGCTATAGCCGTATAGCCTTAAATAAAGTTCCTCCCCCCCCGCCTATAAGTTAACTAAAAATATCGTAAAATTAGCTATATTTAGAGCGGAAAGTTTACGTAGTTATTACGATCTCGCTACGCTCTAGTTAGGACTATCGTGAAATTCTATAGATCTATAAATTTCTTCGAATTCGTCGAGCGCGGCTATATCCGTAACGTTCGATAGCGGTTCCTAGGTTAGCTTAGAATAGCCTTTCTACTTTATAAGGCACTCCCTCTATAGCCCGCGGCCTCGCCGCTTACTTCGTGCGTATAGGATATATTTGACTAGCTATTTTTATTATTTATTAATTATAATCGCAGGAGGTTAGCTATCGTTAGTTTATTAACCGGCCACTAGGTCTAGGCCCGCCCGCTATAGCTAGTCGACGTAGAAACGCGGATAGATCGCAAAAGGAACGCTTAGTTCGACTATTAGAGGGCTAATAACCTTAGTAACTTTATACTTATAATATAGGGCGTCGAGCTTCTTACTCGGCCTTATAGTATAATAGTTCGCTATTTTTAGCTATACCTTATCGCTAACTTCGAATTATTCGGCTAGTCGTCGATATAAGTTAGTTACGTCCTTAGCGCGTTATTATATAGCGGCGATAGCTATTTATACGAAGTCTATTACTTTACCTAGCCGGGAGATAAAGTCCCTTATAACGAGTTCGGGGAAACTCTATACCTCGTTCGCCTCGTTATCTAGTACTTAAATCGCCGAGGGTTCCTAACCGTATTCGTAAAAAAAAGGGCTAACTATTATAGCGGCGTTCTTTTTATTATTAAGCGCTAATATCGCTACGGGTGGCTAATCTAACTAATTCGATTAGGCTTATTCGATATAATAAC